CAGTACTTGATAAGCTTATATTTGCATTCACTCTTTCACTCACCTACTCACTCAATCATACACATACTTACTATACATGATTCACATACTACACATACATTCATTGTGCGATCTGGTATTTTCACAATAACTGATAAACATTTCAAATAATTATACTCATTAATTCCCTCGGCGATTAGAATTGTAAGTGCAACTTGATTTATTTTCTTCTTGTTTTATTGTTAATCTTGCATGTTTACATTATCTACATTGTAAATTCAATTACTTTAGAATGTCATGTGGAAGTGCCGTAATGTCTCCAAGCAGCTTTTTTATTTTTTTTTCATCGTACACTTTCAATGAGGAGGTTGAGTGAAGACTTTAAAAAAATAACTAGTTTGTTTAAATTATCACCTTTGTCACTTTATCCACTTACTCATTTTGTTTATTGTATTCTTTTACTACATTTGAGAGTATGAATAAGGACTTCGTTGGCCGAGTGGTCGCAAGTGCGACTACCGGGCAAGGGGTCTCGGGTTTAATTCCCGGGTCGGGCAAAGTATTACTGAGTTTTTAAAAAATCTCAGAGTTTGGAAATGCGCCTGGTATATGGCAATAGACTCACCCCCTGTTACATGGGACTCATAACATAAACAGTGAAAAGTGGGTGTTACTTCTGTTTGCACCTCTGACTACCCTTTCGGGAATAAAAGGCGTGATGTTATATTATGTTATAAGGACATTGCTTGCAAGTAAAAGCCAGTTAATCTCTCTACTTATTTGCTTTTTATTCCATCAATAACTATAAAAAAATCATGAAACTTGACTTTACAAATAACTTAATGGATAAAATCCACGGAAACACCTTAATAGGTGTTATAAAGAGTTACAGCTATCTTCTTTTCGCAGAAGACATTAAAAACCTTTGCCGCAGAATATTTTAATTACTTGCTACTTTTTAGTACGAAATTAAAAGTTGAGAGATGGTTAGACTTAGAAAGTTCTTTATATCTACGTCAAGTTAAGGGTCATGACAATTTGATTGACTGATTCATTATATTGTTATTTATTCAGAGTAATTTCGTGTGTTATTATACAATTACTTTGCATGTTAATGCACTTTGTATTAACTAATAACAAAATGTAAAACTTTATGAGTGATATTTCTAAAGAGAATTATGAAATAATATGCACAGGTCATCCTCATTAACAGCCTGTAATCATCTCCTCACACGGAGAAGATTTGAGCATTAAGTATCACGCTTGCTCAATGCGGGTTGGTGATTTCAAACTTATAATAAGAAATTATAAGCCCACGTTTCCTCACGATTCTTTACTTCACCATTTGTCAGTGGTGTCTAGATAATCTTAGAAAGTATGTATAACTCGGAAAAAGTCACATTGGTACTTGCTGTTGGTAGGTTTCAAACCCGCACTCTCATGCATGAGAAGTAGGCGTCTAAAACCTCCGGGCCTCCATGACCGCACTATTATAAATGACCGTCGTTGGAATTGAACTTGAATGGATTCGAGTCTAATACCTAATAGTGGTCCGAAATAATAAAGCCTGATTGTCTCTACAATCTTTCCAACAACCTTTGAATTTTAATAATGTAAGTGAAAGATTAGCAAATTTTTCTTACAAGGATGAACAAATCGTTTGTCATTAAAACAAGAAATATCTTTGTATTCAAACAGCTCCGAGTTTTAACAGATTAGTATCATTGTGAACGAAGCCAGTTGTGGACAAATGTTATTTTCATTATTCCGAAATTGAGAGTATTTAGCAAAATAATGTGGATCGTGATTTACTTTTGTTTTGTATTCGAATTCATCTTCAATCCCATTATGGATATAGATCAATTTTTGTTACCTAGACTGTAATAAAAAACTTTATATATATAACATAACATAGGGGTTGGCAGAGGTGCACATTAGGGCACTTAATGCCCCTGTATAATGTAACACCCACTTTTCACTATTTATGTATGAGACCCATGTAATAAGAGGTGAGCCTATTGCCGTATACTGGGCACGATTCCAGACTCTATGCTACTACTGAGATTTTTTTAATAGCCCAGTAATACTTCGACCAGAAATCGAGCCCGAGACCCCTGGCCTGGCAGTCGCACTTGCGACCACTCGGCTAACGAGGCAGTCTGTAATAGAAGAAGGATTTCGGTCCATTTGGCATCCATTGAAACTTTAGAAAGTAAACACGAAGAACCTGTCTGCTAAGCGTTGATGTAATGGTGAATCCCTCTCATGTAGAGGATTCCCATAGTTCAGCTCTAGACTATTGATTGATTGATGAAAATGTTGAACAATAAAAAATAATGAATAATGTTGAAAAAAACTCTTTAATAACTTTAATTTACTATTAAGCCTTTGACTGCCGACAGAAAACTGTTGAGGGTAAATCCTCCGCTAACGTGGCCCATACCTTGTCCCCCATGGCGTTCAAGGTGTTAACTGAACTAAGAAAGAAATGATTAGCAACAATTTCTTGTAAAAGGTCTGTTATGTTGGTTGTCTTCTTTGATCATGTCAGATACTTTCTCTCCAATCATGATCGCAGCACCTAAAGTACCTCCCGCAGTAGGGTATGGCATGACACTGGCATCAGCGACCCTTAGTCTTTTCACACCATACACCCTTAATCTGGAGTCCACCACAGATCCCATGGCACAGGTACTACTATAATGATGTTCAGAAGTCGTCATACATCTTATATAACATTTCCAATAGTCTCTGGTACCCACTGTATAATTTCTGCAATCAGGTAATTTAGGATCCTTGAACGTACCACCAATTTTCTGAAACGCATCTGTGTCCAAAATCTTCATAAAATCTTCTACTATTCTTGCATGGTCATCTAGATCTTCTTCTTCTGTATAATAGTTAGTATAAATATAAGGGTCTTCCATAAAGTCGCCACTCTTCAAAAGAATTTCTCCTCTCGACTTGTACAGCTGCTTGTTTACTATAGAAAACATCATCTCGGAGTTGACATCAGTCCCGATCATATTGTTGCAGATCTCGTCAGTTTGGCTGTACGTGAAGGTGCAATAACTCATGAGGTACGTAGGGAGACTGACAAAGTTGAAAGTTTGGTAGTCAGGATAGTTACTCGACTCGTTCAAAGACACATAGCCCATTAAAACTGATGCTGGATACTTGTAAGGATTCCAAGGTCTATAAGGATATATCAGGTTTGTCATATTGAATACAATAACTACAGCCAAATGATCCTGCAAGTTTTTTCCAACTGGTAGATCTGATATTGTAGCAATCTTGTGACTATACAGATGGCTTCTTGGGCCGACGCCTGAGAGCATAAGAAGCTTTGGGGAATTGACAATACCAGCCGATACAATAACTTCTTTTCTAGATTTCACTACAATGTATCTTTTGTCATAAGTGTACGCTTCAACGCCTACAGCATTATTAAAACCATCAAATATAATTTTATTTACAAGAGTATTCTTTAAAACATGTAAGTTTGGACGATTTCTAACAGGAACTAAGTAAGAAATAGCCGTACTCTGTCGAATACCATCTGACATGGTGAACAAGGCGTCAGAGTAGCCCAAGGAATTGTTTCCACTAAAAGCTACCTGGATCTGGCTCCCAGTTTCTTCGAATACTCTGAAGTATTTATCTCTTTTATTTGTTAAAGAGAGGGATAGTCCAATGTTTCCTTCGGTTCCAAAGTACTGTCCTTGGGGCGAGTTAATGATAGAAGTTTCCTCGAGTCTCTGGGACTTTTTAATGTATGGTAAAACATTCTCCCAGTTCCAAGTGCTATCGTTGACTATTTCTGCCCAGTTGTCGTAATCATAATGGTTTCCTACGGAGTATAGCAGGTAGCTCGATGAACTGGAACCACCAAGGACTCTTCCTATGGACATGTCATCTATGGACTTCTTGTGGCAGTGTGATGAAGTTCCGTCAGGTTCTGTCGTATAGTTCCATGCTGAGTCATTTTCTTTCATATACAGAAGTAGGCCTGGTAGCTGAAAAAGTTTACACTGTTTGCTTATTGAACTTAAACAATCTTTTAATTTTTAAACGAGCGGACGAATCACCTGATGGTAAGTAATCGCCGCCGCCCATGGACACCCGGAACACCAGAGGATCCATGTGGGGCAACGTTTTTAAAAAAAATACAATGCCTGCTTCAACAGTCTTCTGTAGAAGCAGGCATTGTAATTTTAATAATTTAAGTGAAAGATTAGCAAATTCGTTAAAAGGATGAACAAATCGTTTGTCATTAAAACAAGAAATGTCTTTGTATTCAAACAGCTCCGAGTTTTAACAGATTAGTATCATTGTGAACGAAGCCAGTTGTGGACAAATGTTTTCTTCATTATTCTGAAATTGAGAGTATTTAGCAAAATAATGTAGATCGTGATTTACTTTTGTTTTGTATTTGAATTCATTTTCAATCCCATTATGGATATAGATCAACTTTTGTTACATAGACTGTAATAAAAATCTTTATATGTAACATAATATCCCGCCTTTTTATCCCCAAAGGGGTAAGCAGAGGTGCACATTAGGGCACTTAATGCCACTGTATAATGTAACATCCACTTTTCACTATTTATGTTATGGGACCCATGTAATAGGGGTGAGCCTATACTGAGCACGACAGTCTCCATGCTACTACTGAGATTTAAAAAAAAAACCCCAGTAACATTTTGCCCAACCCGGGAATCGAACCATAGGCCCCTTACCTGGCAGTCGCTCTAGCGACCACTCGGCCAACGAGGCAGTCTGTAATAGAAGAAGGATTTAGGTCCATTTGGCCACCATTTAAACTTTAGGAAGTAAACACGAAGAACCTGTCTGCTGAGCGTTGATGTAATGGTGAATCCCTCTCATGTAGAGGAACCCTATAGTTCAGCCCTCGACTATTGATTGATTGATGAAAATGTTGAACAATAAAAAATAATGAATAATGTTGAAAAAAACTCTTTAATAACTTTAATTTACTATTAAGCCTTTGACATCCGACAGAAAACTGTTGAGGGTAAATCTTCCGCTATCGTGGCCCATACCTTGTCCCCCATGGCGTTCAAGGTGTTAACTGAACTAAGAAAGAAATGATTAGCAACAATTTCTTGTAAAAGGTCTGTTTTGTTGGTTGTCTTCTTTGATCATGTCAGACACTTTCTCTCCAATCATGATCGCAGCACCTAAAGTACCTCCTGCAGTAGGGTATGGCATGACACTGGCATCAGCGACCCTTAGTCTTTTCACACCATACACCCTTAATCTGGAGTCCACCACAGATCCCATGGCACAGGTACTACTATAATGATGTTCAGAAGTCGTCATACATCGTATATAACATTTCCAATAGTCTCTGGTACCCACTGTATAATTTCTGCAATCAGGTAATTTAGGATCCTTGAACGTACCACCAATTTTCTGAAACGCATCTGTGTCCAAAATCTTCATAAAATCTTCTACTATTCTCGCATGGTCATCTAGATCTTCTTCTTCTGTATAATAGTTTGTATAAATGTAAGGTTTTTCCATAAAGTCGCCATTCTTCAAAAGAATTTCTCCTCTCGACTTGTACAGCTGCTTGTTTACTATAGAAAACATCATCTCGGAGTTGACATCAGTCCCGATCATATTGTTGCAGATCTCGTCAGTTTGGCTGTACGTGAAGGTGCAATAACTCATGAGGTACGTAGGGAGACTGACAAAGTTGAAAGTTTGGTAGTCAGGATAGTTACTCGACTCGTTCAAAGACACATAGCCCATTAAAACTGATGCTGGATACTTATAAGGATTCCAAGGTCTATAAGGATATATCAGGTTTGTCATATTGAATACAATAACTACAGCCAAATGATCCTGCAAGTTTTTTCCAACTGGTAGATCTGATATTGTAGCAATCTTGTGACTATACAGATGGCTTCTTGGGCCGACGCCTGACAGCATAAGAAGCTTTGGGGAATTGACAATACCAGCCGATACAATGACTTCTTTTCTAGATTTCACTACAATGTATCTTTTGTCATAAGTGTACGCTTCAACACCTACAGCATTATTAAAAGCATCAAATATAATTTTCTTTACAAGAGTATTCTTTAAAACATGTAAGTTTGGACGATTTCTAACAGGAACTAAGTAAGAAATAGCCGTACTCTGTCGAATACCATCTGACATGGTGAACAAGGCATCAGAGTAGCCCAAGGAATTGTTTCCACTAAAAGCTACCTGGATCTGGCTCCCAGTTTCTTCGAATACTCTGAAGTATTTATCTCTTTTATTTGTTAAAGAGAGGGAGAGTCCAATGTTTCCTTCGGTTCCAAAGTACTGTCCTTGGGGCGAGTTAATAATGGAAGATTCCTCGAGTCTCTGGGACTTTTTAATGTATGGTAAAACATTCTCCCAGTTCCAAGTGCTATCGTTGACTATTTCTGCCCAGTTGTCGTAATCATAATGGTTTCCTACGGAGTATAGCAGGTAGCTCGATGAACTGGAACCACCAAGGACTCTTCCTATGGACATGTCATCTATGGACTTCTTGTGGCAGTGTGATGAAGTTCCGTCAGGTTCTGTCGTATAGTTCCATGCTGAGTCATTTTCTTTCATATATAGAAGTAGGCCTGGTAGCTGAAAAAGTTGACTATGTTTGCTTATTGAACTTAAACAATCTTTTAATTTTTAAACGAGCGAACGAATCACCTGATGGTAAGTAATTGTCGTCGCCCATGGACACCTGGAACACCAGAGGACCCACAAGTGCGTTACCGGCCTTTGGGGATTAGGAATTTAGGATTGTCAGAGATTCAGTGATTGGAGAGATTGGGGAAGGGGGAGGATAATTGGGTCTCCGGTAACCTCACTCACACGACAAAACACAACGCAATCTTTGTTTCACGTCAGTTTTCTGTGAGGCCATGGTATCATTCCCGTCGGACCGGCGCATTCAGGCTGAGGCACGGCTCTTCCACACTTAAGATATAAGAATAATAATAATAATAATCCAATATTTGATCAAATATAAAAGATAAAAGGTTCATATTCTATCGTATACTTACACCAGCTTCGATTTGGGGATCCCCTCCAGCCTCAATGAGTAGCACGGTTGTATTACTGTCCTCGGTCAGTCGGTTGGCAACCACACACCCCGTGGTACCAGCACCAACTATTATGTAATCGTATGATGCACCATCTTCGAGAAAAATACATTTTGAAAAATAGCAGCTTGTGACAAATTTTAATTACAAGGAAATAAAAAAGAAACTACTAGAACTTACCAAACACACAGGTCTGTTCTGGAAACTGGTATGAAGTGAGCTGCAATGCTGTCAGCACACTCAGGGCACCCTGTACAGCTCGGATGCTGCTCGCCGACTCCGTGGCGTTGATACGCATATTTATTGAATTTCAGGCTGGAAATAAGACACTTATGCCGGAATACTGTAACTTTACTCAATTTTAAGTCGTTCTCAAATATCGTGCCATCTCTGTCATTCCACAAAGAATTAGTAGTGACAGAACTATACTTAAGCGCGACTTAAAATTGAGTAACGTTTCAGTATTCTGACAATATTTAAGCATTTGACTGCCGACAAAAAACTGTTGAGGGTAAATCCTCCGCTATCGTGGCCCATACCTTGTCCCCCATAGCGTTGAAGGTATTAATGAGGACTATGTATCAAAAGTATGATCCAGAATTAATTCAAGCCAATTTTAACTTCGTCCATCCCAAGTGGTAAATATGATTATATATACTGGCAACTGCCGCGCGGTTTTCATGCTATGCTCGGTTCCTATTGATTGTAGCATGATATTTCATAGCCTACAGCCTCGATAAGTGGACTATCCTACACAAAAAGAATTATTCAATTGGGTACTTTCCTTAATCAAAAATAAATTATTTCGACTTTTCAATAGGTACAATAAAATATTAAAAAATTAACACACTTTCATTATTTGATTTGATGAACAATTTCATTTTAATATTTTTCCAGCAAGTTTTTAAGAATTAAGTATGCTGTATGACGCTAAAAGAACGTGACGCCACAATTTACCATCTCGTATAAAATTCATAGATAACGGACGTTTTGACAGTTTAAAAAAAAATTGAATTTGACTAGTTGGCAAATACCCAATTCGTAGATTAACGGGTTCAAAACTTCAAACCAACAACCAAATCTTCAGCTTTATTGATATGAAAGAATAAGGTATCGACAAAAGCCGCGGGGAAATTGACGGTTTCAATTATTAGAAAAAAAATATATTGGACAATTATTCAAACATTCGATAACGTGGATTAAGTGTGAAGTGGAGAGCCATGCTTCGGCACGAATGGGCCGGCTCGACCGGAGTGATACCACGGCATCACAGAAAACCGACGTGGCACAACACTTGCGTTGTGTTTAGTAATTACCAAGTGAAACTACCGGAACGAAGGCCCAATTACCCCTTCCCCAAACTCCCCAATCCCCGAATCTCCAATTCCTCTCTCTCTTACGGCGCGGTGCCAATTACTTACTATCAGGTGATCCGTCAGCAGATTTACCAGCTTACTCCATAAAAAAATATCAAAAAAAATACAAAATGTTTTTAACGTTAAGGGTAAAGAAATAAACATACCTCTATGTCTGTCATTAAGTACCACAATAAATTCGTTTCCAAATCCTGCTCGACTACTAGACCGACTAACATAGATTAAGCTTACTTAGCACTAAAGTTAAGTTCACCGTCTGTCACTTAATTTCCCTCATTGATAAAAGAATCGTAAAAAACTTAACGGCTCTAAGTTTTATAGTATTTTTTACAGATCATTTAATTTATTTAAGTAGTTAAATTTCAAACAGATTATCTTTAAGAATATTTAATTAATACTTAACAAACTTGAAAATAAATTAAGTACCAAAGTGCTTACGTTTACTTTCCTCTTTATTACAACAAAATTTTTATTTTTACACAGAAACGAAGTCAAAATAATATCATTCGATTAAATTAAAGAACATAGCCGCTTGATTGCTTCTTGCAACCACAGTTGCGAAAAAAAAGTTGTTTATTTTGCTTCGTGCAACCGTGGTTGCAAGGCGACTGTTCGTTCGATGGTTAAGTGGAGAGAAATAATGTACTTGTGGACTGTATAATACGCAATATAATAATTAACTAGACTGTTACAATAATGGTTATAAGAAATTGAATATAACTGTGGATTAGAAGGCGCGAGCGCGGACGTGCGTCGTAGTGTCCAACAGCTGACTGGCGAGACGGCGGCCGTGCGGGGCAGGCGGTCGCCGCCGCGCACGCCGCCGTCTGTCGTCCCCTCCAGTGCGCAGCGGAGGCCATTGAGTGCATGACTCAACATCCTCCCCCCGTTGAAGAGTCTTCAACAGACACAGGTAGAGGACATATGGTGTTGAATGCTCGCCGAATGACACCCCTTCGTGTGCGGATGTCGGCGACTCTTGCGATGCCGTCTCTGCCAGGGAGCACCCGAGTGATGCGCCCTAGAAGCCAGAGTAGAGGTGGTAAGCCTTTGTCCTTGATGACAACGAGAGTCCCTTCTTTCAGCTCTCCCGAAGACCGCTGCCATTTCGTTCTCTCCTGCAGCCATAAAATGTACTCCTGAGAGAAACGATTCCAAAAATGCTGTTTGAGGCACTCGATGCGTCGAAACCGCTGGAGATT